GGCACACTGAAGATGATGAAATGCCGAAACGAAGAGAGACCAACCCAGAGAGCATAGAGCAGACCAAGATGATCAATAACGATCGACTTTCATTTAAAAATAGTGCAGGAGGACCACTGCATGTTGCCGACTGGTAAGGGCGTCCGGCTGTATTTGTACGCTACTCAAGGGGTTCTATGTTTGAATTCCGGCGTAGGCTAAAGAATTTTCGTTCATAATAATTTTAAACCAAAAGTAATGTGTAAAATGCTTTGCTGTAATGTGATTCTGACCCCTCGTCAGCTTCACCAAAGTAGATGGACTTTTATGTGTATGACGGGAATTTCTTGTCTTACTTACTTACTTTTAATATTAGTATAAATGCAAAAAAAGCAAATTTTAATAAAAACTTTTTTAGAAAACGTTCAACAATCATAAATAACAATAATTTGCTCAAACCAATAAATATCGGCTCCATAACAAAAGGAAAACATGAAACTGGAAGAATTGAAAACAAAGAACAAATAAAAACAGTGTTCGCCACAATACTACTGTTTTTATCGGCGAAAAAATTCGATTGCTTCTGTGGGAAATTGAGCATCGACAGATCGGAAAACATTGCCCAGGGCGAACGGGGTCAACATTGGTTTTCGGAGGGTTTGGTTTGGCTTCATCTCTTTAGGTGGCCAATCTTCCCAGGTAGATGAAGGCCGATACAATTGTGAGGCTTCATATTGTTTGGGTGTTTTAATTTCATTATCATTCCGTACGAGACTTTTTATTTCATACTGGTATACCGATATGGAAACCTCATGAAATTGAGACTATGAATACCTATTATTAGCATGGACTTTGTCAATCCGAATTTACAAAATTTTCATATAAGTTACTACGTTAAATTAGGTTAAGACATTGGATAGAAATAATCAGAAATCGCTATTATTTATTTTCAAAAGTATTTTTTGTTTCAAATTTTTACAAAATGGTGTTAGTCAATTCTGGACTTTTGATAATGTTTCACCACATTCTCCGCTAACGTTATTATAATTTCAAGTTTTATTAACTGCTAGCTTTATAACCCGGCGTTGCCCAGGGGAATAATACAAAGCGTTATTTAAACATTATTTGGAGTATACATAAGTATGCAATTGCTAGAAATGAGCATTATATATATATGTATGTATATGTATAAATTAAATGAACATAATTGAATGTTTGATATCAATGATTGATTGTGTTTAGTCGTGATATTTATATATGCAATATTATTTTTTGTTTCGGATTATATTGCATTAAATTGTAATTCTGTTGTATTCAGTGTTAAATTCATTGCATTGCTCTTGGATAAACTATGTTTTTGAAGATTACATTTGGCATATGTACAAATAACAAATCCCCCATCCTGAAGCGTGCAACATAAATTGTCCATGAGAAAACCATTGATTCTCCAAATTCAATCCACATAATAGTGTTCATCATTACTGCAAAGCCAGTTTAATTGAAAATTGCAATTGGAAAGGCACTTCGGTGGGTATCGATTAGCACATCCTTTCCTTGAATTTTACTAAGAATTAATCTTTATATAAGGTATTGGTTGAAATAAAAAAGTCAGTTTCACGAGCGGCATTCGAACCCACGACCTTCGGCTAAATACGCCGCTGCTTTACCACTTGAGCTATCGTGACTTCGATCCACTCAGATACCAACTTCCCATCTCAAGCCAACCTTTCGAATTTTTTTCCTTTTTGCTATTTTTCAAATGTCGTGTAATCTATTCGATTCTCGGCGACAAATGAAATGGCCACGGAGAGCTTTAGTGAAGATATACTTCATTTTGTTTATTAAATTAATTACATTTCGTGGTCCGATTGACTAAATAACATCTTTCAATTAATTAATCTTTATGTAAGGTATTGTTCGAGATAAAAAAGTCAGTGTCACGAGCGGGATTCGAACCCACGACATTCGGCTAAATACGCTGCTGCTCTACCACTTGAGCTATTTATTTCAACCAGTACAATGAATTTATTACCTTAAATTACCAATCTAATGAATTTCCTAAGAATATTAATAATTTTCTATGAACAATATTTTGTCGTTTTGGTTCATTTTGATCACAATAGGGCAAAATATTGTCTTATTTCTCTACTCTTACTCGATTTGCTTCATTTCGTGCACCAGTAGCACGTGAGTGTGTCATATGAAATAAATAAATATATATATATTTAAATTTCATTGTGCTATTTCTTCTTCATTCTGCATTTCATCACGAATTCTCTTCGCAATATTTGTACGTGGGCCAATATTTTGTCGTTTTCGTGGCGTTCTAAACAACAAAAAATGCAAATTCCACAGCAATTCTACAGCAGCAGTATTAACAAGACAAAATGTACGAATAAATATTTATACATAATTATTTGGAGATCGTGAGATGCAGTCTGGCGTGACGTTGGTTTTAAAAATATTTTCTTTATCGTGCCAACGTTTCGATCTTTATTAAGATCATCTTCAGGGCCTGGGATTTGTAAACATTGTTTAAATTTTACAAATACATATAGGATTTGGAAAAAAATTAATTTCTACAATGCTAGAAATTTTAAATTCAATCAAAGTATTTGTACTCGCTTAAAGTGCTTGTTTTCTGTGTAGATGTGTCATTCTTGTGTGTCGAGTTGAGGGGATAATTAGGAATAGGAAAGCCAAATCACTAAACACCACACATTAAACATAATTTGTAATACAGCAAAATCATCTCAATTAATTACAAAACATTGAAAAACTAAACATTACGGAACCTCACGTTTTATAAAACTCAGAATGTTAATAAATCCAATCGGCAAATCAACAGCACTCCGTATCATATTTAATTTAAACTGTAACGGTAAAACAATGTTTAATAATATTTTACGTAATTTATAATTGTTTATGTATATATAGCTGTAAAAAAAAATCGGTTTTTGTAGTCTTTATCTTTATACACTAAATAAATGTATAAATAATAAATGGTTTGGCTAAATAAATGGCTGAGTGGAACAGTGGTCGGTCAGCCCACATGCCGGTAGTTCGTTTTACTACCTACAACACTGCTGCCAATAGTAAAGATACCACGGTGAAGTTGGTCCGGTTTTAGAGACAGTAGGCCCTAATTTAGATTAGATTATTAATATTGTATATAGGCCGATAGAGTTATATCAAATATTCTACCGACTAATCAGAATGAGCGCAGTGAACATAGGTGTGAATGTATTTATTTGTGCGACTGTATTACGGAAGGAGGCTAGGTATTAGTGTGCATTCGTTGGGGACTGAAACGACCTAGCTCCATGCTATTACATAACCTACTACTTACATACGGTTCACTTGAGTTTATTTTGATTACGAATAATCTTAATTTTAATGTTTTCTTTTAAAAAAATTACATACGTTACTGAATTGTTTTTGGCACGAGAAAGTTAGTAAGAAGTATAGATATTCTTGTAAAGATACGAAATTAGAGAGACGCCGGCTTAGGTTATGACCTGTTACCCCTGTATTTACTGGACACTTCAGATAGATATGCAATATATTTACATTTTCATAATATATTGCTCATGCTACATACAATATTGCTATTTATTTCGTAAGTGTTTCCATTTATAAAATACCTCATGTTATCAGAATGCCATCTCTGTAAAATCGCATCAAATTGTGATTGTTTTTGTATCGTAATGTAGTATTTTGGAACAAACAAAAGGTATCCTTGTACATTAAAATTGTGTATACAATATTATTGATTTTTCCTGTTTCCAACACCGATATAAAGTTTTCTTTGTTGTAAAACCTATAAACTAAATTAATATTTTACAAAATTAATATAAAACTTTAATTTATATGTACTTCTTAAAAAAATGTTTTACAAAGCCGATAAAAAAATTACAAATTACGTTCCTTAATATTATAATATATTCTAAAACATATATAACATCGTTATGAGAAAGGCACCCTCAAAGTGGCACAATTGAATACTTTGAGGCATATAAACTGACGGTCGAGCTGGGCCGAATAGAATGATATTTGTAGAGTTTTACATTTAATGTTTATTCATTAATGTGGTTTTGGCGTAACGTGTAAGGCCTGTTTTCCATTGGAGGAGAGTAACAAGAACGAATGTGGTGGTTTCTGTTGTTGGACTGTCTGCGGCATGGGTGAGAGAAGGTTGGATTGTTAATAAGGGAAAGAGGTTGGGCATAGTTGGTATCTGGTAGCATAAAGGAAGACGTCGGCACTTTTGTCTTCCTAAGTTAATATTTGCTTTGTTTCTAAGTGAATATGAGTTGCATATTGTAAAATCTACTGTTTTGACTTCAAAGGAGAAAGACATCACTACGTTTTCCGAAAATTGTCCCAGTGTTCGATTATAAATTTAGAATGTGGGAAAATTAATTACTTTGTATTTACATTACCTTACCTTTTCCGTCTCACAGACAAAGTAAATAAACCCATACAATTCTATTGAGTGACACAGAATGTAAAACCCATTGGTAATTAAATTATAAATAATTAAGAAATATAATTTAGTAACACCATAGGTTTTAACTTCTTGTAATTTTCAACAACCGGCTTGCCGATATTCTCCGTACATGCCAAAAGCTTTCCACTTTATAAACATTCAACGATTCACCCAGGCTAAAAATTGTAATTATTTTATTTAACATTATATACTCGGCATCAGTCACAGGTATGGGGGCTAGGTCGAGATGGGAAAGCCCTACAAATCTAGGCGCGAGCAGGAGGAGCAACACAGCTTCTGACCTTTAGGCATGGATCGCTAGCCCTAGATAAAAGTCTAAAAGTAAAAAGGAAGTCAACCTCCCATTAGTTTTCCATCCAAGGTAGAAACCTGGCTAAATACGTGAATTTTTTTATTTCTCTTGATTTTAGGAACCCTTGCATTATTTTCAACAACTAAACCATTAGTTTGATTATGTAGTGAACTGTACAAAAATTGCATTAAATTAAAAATGGCTAAAATTTACACTTACCCTCAGCTCCGTCGATTTCGTTCGTCCACGAGGAATCCAGGGGAGGAGGACAGGGAATGATATTATGATCTATTATTGATAGAAAGACCAACGAGAAAAATTGGACGGAAAACCCTTACCTCGTAGCGGAATTGTGGAGATTACCAACGATTCTCCGATCATACACTGCGATCCGACGAAACGAAGAATAAGTGCCCCCCCCCCCGAATAAGCGCAAATTAAACAGAATTATACCCCAAACGCAAAGAGAACAACTAACTACATAGGTTGAAGTCGCAAACCAGGCTGATTAAAAACGGAATATCATGGCCAGACACTCGTTCCACGAGGTCAGCACGAGTTCAGAGTCAAACTGGCGTAAACAACTATTCTGGACAGTGGAAATACGTAAGAGCCGAATAGTCTCATCGATATAACTTGTCACGGTCAAGTTATTATTATTTAAATTATTGGCGTGGTTCGGGCTGTCTGTTGTTATTTTCTAAACACATAGCCAGCCTAAGTCCTGGCAACTAATTGTTAAGTTTACAATATTAAGAAAATTATATAGAGATGAATAAATTGAATCTCCTTGATTTTAATCGCAGACAATATTTACTGTATTAAGAATAATGGATTCCCCCGCTACAATATAATACGCCGATTGTCTAAGCATAACAAAGTGTAAATAAAGGATAAAATTATGTAAGAGATGGTTTCTTAAAACAGTATGTCCTAATGGCATTTCATAAGGGACATTTGAATAAAGGTTGTCTCCTTTCTTTTATCGATCACTCAGAAACATTTGTATTGTTAAATGAAAATTGATTGGCCTGTTTTAAATTAATTTGGTAGAAAATGCGATAAGACTTTATTCATCATCAGAGCTTTAAAAAAATTAAAATATTACATTAAATTTAACCTTATAGGTTGAGATTTATAATTGACAAAATGTAAGAAAATGTTTTTCAAAGCTCAAGTGTGTGTGTGTGTGTGTGTGAAATATTTAAAAAATGCACCATGATATTACAACTGTCCTTTCTTATGAAGTTATGCGCCGTCAACACACACTAAGTCAAGCCACAGTAGTTTTTCATTGTTAATTTTTTTTAATATCATTTTAACTTTTTCAAAATCCACTGCGTTTATACTCATTAATACGTTTTGACAAACCTGTACAATCTTTTTTATTAATGATATTTCTTTTGTGTTGATTAACTCTATCTGAACTCTCTGAATTCGGCCATCTCTATCTGTTCTATTTTTTAAGAACTGTATAGTTTCCAACATGTTTTTTTTACTTGAACACATAACTTTATACAATATATTGTTTTTAAGAAGGTTGTCTATATCATTTTTTCTAGGTGGTAGAATAGAGTTAATTTGGTTTTTAAAATGTTTGTAAAAAATAGATTCTTCCATAAAGTTTTTTTTTACAAAACTTACAATTTATATATTTTTATACATTGTATACAAATATATATNAGATTAACTCTTTTTTATTGTAAAATTTACTTTTTTAATTTTTATTAACTGTAAAATAAATTATATTTTTTATTTTTCAAATTCCCTAGTTTCTCCACTCTTCTAAGACATCTGTTTAATTATTCCAAAATGTAATATTAATATCGTTTCATAAAATTTCGAAAAATGTGTGTCTTTAATCTTGAAAATGTTTTACAAAATTTTCAGAACAGCAAAAATTTTAAAAAGACGTAATTCGAGTCGAAAATACGTCAATATGGCGTTTCAATGTATCAAGATGTTTACTTTTTTTGTACAACGAGTTTCCCCAAAAGCAAAATACCCTGTATTTTTAGCCAAGAAGCCGCTAAAAAACGCAAACGAAGTACTAAAACGAAATGTAATTTGGTGGATATTTACTATTAATACTAAATACTTGTTTACTAAATATATGTTATAATATAATAAATATTACCACAATATATTTGTCTATTTATGATTTCTATATTATTTGTTTTTGTATTTTAAATTTTACATATATTTGTATATACATGTCGTAAACATGCATAATCATAGGTAAATAATTATATTTTTAAAGTAATATTATTTTATTTATTCTTTAAATTATAAGTTTATTCTATTATTACTATATACCTAAGAAATTCAATATGTATTAGTTATTCCCTGTGCCAATTTTCTTCAAGCAAAGCAAAAAAATGTGTTAGAAGAGAAAAAAAAATTGGAAAATGACATGTCGAAACCCCTGAAACTCGCTTCTTTCTTAGTAATAATTTTTGTAAAATAATTTATTTTGTAATTATAAAATATTTACTGTAGTCGGAAAATTGTTTTGAAAAAACCGTTAGATGCAGAAAAAACATGAAAATTTTTGTAAGCAAATAAAATAAAATTCAAGTTTTTAACGTTTTGGTCTTGTCTTCAATTAATACCTATATAGATAATCATTCTAAATTTCGAAATCGTAAGTCATTAATGATTGTGAAAAATAATCAAAATTATTCAGCCACAGGGGAAATTATTAGCATCATAAAACGATATAAATGGAACTACCGTAAAGTTTAAAGGTTGGGAAAACAAAGAAAAATCCTTAGCTCATTGAAAACATTTTTGTCTTAAAGAATAAATCCGTATTTACCGGTAGGCATCGTCCATCCCCCTTTAATAATCCGGTTTCCGGAAGGTAGTGGCGTTGTGGCCGGGGTGGGTCAGAGAGAAAGCTATAGATCACGTAAACGTCATTCCCTCCCAGCGATCTAAAGCCCAACTACTCTCAGGTGTCCTCCGCTACCGATAAATCTCCTACGGTGCCTAACTTAGCATTCAACCATCCCTTAAATATTGACGCCTTAACTTGATAATTGCCACAAAATAGACTACCTCAGTACTTTTGAGAAATGGGATTCCCAATTTGGCCACAAGGAACCGCTACTTCCATCTGATAAGGCGACTTACATAGTTTGATTATATTGAATTTATTACTTGTGAAATACATAGAAATTTCAAAGTCAAATAACTATTACTATAAATTATCAATACACTTTACAAATCAAATCATTGAAAAGTGCATTTTTACCTCAAAAAAATTGGGTTGGCCGTGGGATACCATCAGAAAGCTGAACAAATCAGTACATAAATAACTTTGGTTAATAAGAAAAATGTACTGTTTTTCAGTTCTTTATAACAGATGTAAAGGGTGTATCAAATTCTATTGTCCACCCATTCAGTTCAGAAACGATTAACTTCAGCAAAAAATGGTTTTATACAAACCCCAAGTTATTTTGGCTAGGAATCGCGTGGTGATAACAGATTAAACGTAACTTTCTCATTACTTGCCAAAATAACTTGGGGCTTGTATAAGAACATTTTTTGCTAAAGTTAATTGTTTTCGAAATAAAGGAGGTGGGCCATTTTGTTGTTACAAAAAGCATACCCACTTGACGCATTTTCCGTCGGTCATAACTCAGAAATGGTCGATCCCATTAAAATTTTCCTATTACTTAAAGTGGCATAAAATAAGATCTAGAATCGAACTGTACAATAAAAATATTGCCCATTTAAAATACCAACGTTAATGACAATTCCCAGCTAGATGAGAAAGTTATGTTAAGTCTGTTAGCACCACGCCCAAATTAACTTGGGGTTTGTAAACGATTTGCAATTTTTGCTAAAATTAATGTGGTCTTAACTCGATAGAAGTTCGGAATGGATTGAATTAAAAATATTAATGTTAGCAAGTGAGCATGAGATAAGGGAGGAATGTGAAGAGTTACAGTAGATATGGGTAGAGTTAATTATTAAGTATTAATGTAACAAACTTTAAAAAATAAACTACCTTCTGGAAGTTGGACCTTAAGATTTCCTATTACAATATTATCATACAGTAGAGATTAGTGACCGTTAATCGATAGTTATTCAGATATCGTGAGATGCGGTCGGGTGTGATGTAGGTTTCAGAAAGGCACGATAAAGAAAATGTTTTTCTGAAACCTACATCACACCCGACCGCATCTCACGATATCTGAATAATTATCATACAATATTATAATGAATTACATATTACTTACATTAGATACATTATTTATAACTCCAATATAATTCAAGTCTGTAAAACATTAATTTTATGTAAGTCAATTTAATTTAATTTAATATACGATTATAAAACATTAATTTTATTTAAACCGATTTTTTGCAAAGTAAAATCTGTTTTAATATTTTTCGAACTTATGCTATTTATTTTATTTTTACAGATATTAAACTTTAGCGTACAATATATAATTATAAAAAATAATACAATGATCATTATGATACAATGTAAAAGTTGAAAATGTATTTTCTTTAGTAACATTCGCGTGTATATTTGGAGGGATTAGAAGATTCAAGGGGGGAGGAGGAGGATTCGATATCTTGTATAGAAAATTTTCTTAGATGAATTACCATTTGAGGTTGTTGGTTCATTGTTGAATTTATTAGGTCGTTATTAGGCAAAATTTTTGGATATCTACTAAAAGTCGATTCATCGAGTAGATGATTTACTTTGTAGAAGATCGTCCCAGACTCCGTCTCCATTTGGTTGATCCCATGGGGTGTTTTTGTTTCGGTTTTTGACGTGTGACAATTGTTAATTTGTCAGGCGTAATAAAGACGATTAAATATTTAATTATTTCATTTATCAATTCTATATGATTATTTGTCGTGCGAAGTCTGATAAGCGTGCAGAAAGTCGACGCCTCTTCAGAATAATTCCTTCGATGCAGCCCGATCGGTGATCGTCTTCATAGCATTGAAATGAAAAAAGCATTGTTGCTTTCACTATAAACTTATTTTCTGAAATTACAGTTACATAAAATTGGCCTAATTTGGAAGGGATTGTTTCTGATTTGGCCAACAATACAGTTGTTTTATTCGAGATTCAATTTCTTCTATTCCACGATGATTGGTTTTTTTCCCGTGGGATCATTTTGTATAATGTTCTATATCTCGTATTCATCAATCCCATCAATTAGTCTTTTAATAAATTTAAGTATATTAATTTCGGAACCCTTAAAATGTTTTGCTACGGTTAAACAAAATTCTGTATACAGGGTATTCTATTTAGATAATCTGAATTTCTGTTGAATCAATGACGCTATCAAAAAAACGTTTTTATATTTTTTATCTAGATTCACGTTTTTACCTTTTTTTACGAAAAATTATACAGGGTACCTCAGGCTCAGGTTAACTTCAAAATTTTAAATATGACCCAGACAACCTGACACATCATTTTAAAGGTATTTTTATGCTAAAAACAATGGTGCAATCGGATTTTAAATTTGTCAAAAAATGACAACTTCTATCAGAAAGTTTGAAAATAATAAATAAATAGTAATGAAACAAGAAAGGATAAAAGTTTTGCCACTTTTTTGTCTGTGGTCTAAGAATTTGCCTGGGTTTTTTGTAAAATGTTATAATAAAAAAGTATGAAAGGGTTTTTTAACAATTTAAGTTATCATTTATAAATAGCCTGTCAGACAAGAGGGCTTAACGTCCAACTACTCGTTAGGAATTGATAGTTATTTTTGAAATTATTCTCGTAAATTCATGGGTTATGCTAGGATTTAAACACAGATCCGCTAACGTGGGAAATACAAGTCGGACGCCCTACCCATTCGTTCAACAACGGATCCGTATTTTTTTTCAATATCCTATTTGACTGAAAAAAAATCGGACAATCGCATGCTTCAAAACAAATGGGCAGTAAAGTTTACAATCACATGGCTGCAATCGGAAACACAACTTTTCTCAGTAAATCTTAGTTTCCCATGTTTACAACATAAACTCTTGAACAATCAGATATAAAAGATACACTAACTAACGCCTCGTTCGACCCTGAAATGGAATGTTGATAAAGAACCGAAACGAGCTGATTAATAGATTTTTTCGTTTTACACAGTTTAAACTAACCGCGCGTAGAATGTTCTATTGAAATTATAGACGGTGGGAAAATGATTCGAGATATCTCTCCCGAATCCCACCACGCTCTTTTTCGAACTATAAATTATCTTTTAAAACTTCCATAAACCTAGCAAATTTTAATAAAACACTTATGAATCCATAGAAACATTATTCTGAAGCACAAAACATAATTGCCTCGTTTTTATCCAGTAACTTCTGAAAGCTTTACGAATAAAAACAACCATCATAATAAAATTATGGATTTTTTCGTAACTTCTTCAGTATTGCCGATTGTGATTAAACTTGAAAACCTTTTAAACAAGTCATCCGCCCGCAAGCATTCAAGACGTTCTTTAAGGGGCGGTATGGACTAAGTTCGACATTTATATTCTAACAGGATCTTTCTATATATGTAT